AGGAAATGGAAGAAACAATCCTACAATTTATATGGAACCAGAAAAGACCTTGGATAGCCAGAGGAATATTGAAAAAGAAAACTAAAGTTGGCAGAATCACAATTCCAGACTTCAAGCTCTATTACAAAGCTGTCATCATCAAGACAGCATGGTACTGGCACAAAAATAGACACATAGATCAATGGAACAGAATAGAGAGCTAGAAATAGACCCTCAACTCTATGGTCAACTAATCTTTGACAAAGCAGGAAAGATTGTCCAATGGAAAAAGACAGTCTCTTCAACAAATGGTCTTGGGAAAATTGGACAGTCACATGCAGAAAAATGAAACTGGACCATTTCCTTACACCACACATGAAAATAGACTCAAAATGGTTGAAGGACCTCAATGTGAGACGGAATCCATCAAAATCCTTGAGGAGAACACAGGCAGCAACCTCTTTGACCTCAGCCGCAGCAACTTCTTCCTAGGAACATCGCCAAAGGCAAGGGAAGCAAGGGCAAAAATGAACTATTGGGACTACATCAAGATCAAAAGCTTTTGCACAGCAAAGGAAACAGTCAACAAAACCAAAAGACAACTGACAGAATGAGAGAAGATATTTGGAAACATCATATCAGATAAAGGGCTAGTATCCAAAATCTATAAAGAACTTATCAAACTCAATACCCAAAGAACAAATAATCCAATCAAGAAATGGGCAGAGGACATGAAGAGACATTTCTGCAAAGAAGACATCCAGATGGCCAACAGACACATGAAAAAGTGTTCCATATCACTCAGCATCAGGGAAATACAAATCAAAACCACAATGAGATATCACCTCACACCAGTCAGAATGGCTAAAATTAAGAAGTCAGGAAATGACAGATGCTGGTGAGGATGCAGAGAAAGGGGAATCCTACACTGTTGGTGGGAATGCAAGCTGGTGCAACCACTCTTTAAAACAGCATGGAGGTTCCTCAAAAAGTTGAAAATAGAGCTACCCAATGACTCAGCAATCACACTACTGGGTATTTACACTGAAGATACAAATGAAGTGATCTGAAGGGTCACATGCACCTGAATGTTTATAGCAGCAATGTCCACAGTAGCCAAACTATGGAAAGAACCTAGATGTCCATCAACAGATGAATGGATAAAGAGGAAGTGGTATATATATAAAATGGAATACTATGCAGCCATCAAAAGAAATGAAATCTTGTTATTTGTGACGATGTGGATGGAACTAGATGGTATGATGCTGAGTGAAATAAGTCAATCAGAGAAAGACAATTATCATATGATCTCCCTGATATGAGGAAGTTGAGAGGCAATGAGGGGGTTTGGGTGTTAGGATAGGAAAAAATGAAACAAGATGGAATCAGGAGGGAGACAAACCATAAGAGACTCTTAATCTGACAAAACAATCTGAGGGTTGCCGAGGGGAGGGGTGTAGGGAGAGGGTGGTGAGGTTATGGACATTGGGGAAGGTATGTGCTATGGTAAGTGCTGTGAAGCGTGTAAACCTGGCAATTCACAGACCTGTACCCCTGGGGCTAATACACTATATGTTAATAAAAAATATATAGAGGCAAAACTTAAAATTTTAGCAAATCAAGTAAAAGAACATGTAAGAAGGATTAAACAACTCAATCAATTAGGGTTTATCTCAGAAATGCAAGATTGTTTTAACACTCAAAAATCAATCAATTTAACTCACCGTATTAATGGACTAAAGAAAAAACTATATGATCATCTCAACAAATACAGATATTTTTTCAAAATCCAGCACTCATTTTTGCTAAAATCACTTAGCAGAGTAGGAAGAAAATGAACATCCTCAAGTGACAGGAAAAAAAGAAATAAAATGTATCCAAATGGAATTTACTTGAAACCATTAAAAATAATAAGAAGAATGCAAGATTAATATAAAAAATTGTGTTTTTATGTACTAACAGTGAATAATCAGAAACTGAAGATAAAAAATACCATTTACAATATGATCAAAACATAAAATATGTTGGAAAATATGACAAAATATGTGCAAAAGTTGCTCACAGAAAGCTACAAAATTTAAAAAAATTAAAGATGACCTAATAAATGGAGAGGTAATTTAAAATTTATGAACTGAAACCTCAATATTGTTAAGATTTGCATTCCTTTTTAATTTAATCTATAGATTTAATTCAATACCAGTCAAAATTTCAACAGGCCTTTCTTTTCTCTTTTCTTTTCTTTTCTTTTCAGTTAGTAGAAATTGGCAAGTTTTTTCTAAAATTCATAGGGAAGTGCAAAAGACCTAGAATAGCTAAAACAATTTTGAAAAAGAACGAAATTAGAAGACTTACATTATCTGGCCTTGAAACTTACTATACACTATATAAGACAATAGTGGTAGCATAGACAAATAGATCAGTGGAACAAGATAAGAATTCAGAAATAAATGCAAGCAAAAATGGTCAGTTGACTTTTGACAAATATGCACAGACAGCTGAGCAGAGAAAGGGTAGTCTGGAGCAATGGTATAACCTATGCTGTCCTCCATACTTCCTTCCCCTACCCCCACAGAGAACCTAGAAGGGAAGGGAAAAAAAAATCTTTGTGTCCTAAGATTAGGCAGCAATTTCTTAGATATGACACTAAAAAACAAGATTCATAGAGAAAAAAATGGTTCCATTTGATTTTATCAAAACTAAAAACTCTTTGAAACTGTTTGAGAATAAAAAGATAAGCCCCAAACTGGGGAAAATATGTGCAAATAACTTATCTGATAATGGACTTGTATCAAGAATATATAAATTTCAAAAACTACTCATAATTCAGTAATAAGAAACCAGAACTCAATAATAGAGGCAGTATTTCAGCAAATAATTCACTAAGGAAGATACATGGAGGCAAATGAGCAAATAGATGCTCAATGTCATTAGCCATTAAAGAAATGTAAATTAAAGTCACAATGAAATAGCACTATGTATACATTAGAATGTCTAAAACTAGAAAAACTGAGCATACAAAATACTGGCAAAGATGTGCTGCGGCTGGCATTCTCACATAGTTCTGGTGGGAATGTAAAATGGGACAACCATTTTGGAAAACAGTTGGGTGGTTTCCTTTATTTTTAAGATTGTATTTATTTATTTGGTAGAAAGAGAGAGAAAGCAGGAGTGGAGGGGAGGGGGAGAGGGAGAAGGAGAAGCAGACTCCCTGCTGAGTGGGGAGCACAAGGAGGGCTTCAATCCCAGGATCTTGGGTGGTTTCTTAAAAAGTAAAACATACACCTACTAATAACATAGACATTTTGCTCCTACAGCTTTATCCAAGAGACATGAAATATATGTCCATCCAAAGACTTGTCATGAATGTTCACAGCAGCTTTATTTGTAAGAGCCAAACCTGGAAACAATTCAAATGCCCATCAATAGATTAATGGATTAAAAAATTGTGGTGTATCCATACAATGAGGGCATTTACAACTCAGCAATAAAAAAGAATGAATAATTGATACATGCAACAACTTGTTTGAATCTCAAAGTCGTTTTGCTGAGAGAAGCCAAACATAAAAGAGTATATACTACGGGGTGCCTGGGTGGCTCAGTGGGTTAAAGCCTCTGCCTTCAGCTCAGGTCATGATCTCAGGGTCCTGGGATGGAGCCCCACATCAGGCTCTCTGCTCAGCAGGGAGCCTGCTTCCCCCCCGCCCCGCCTGCCTCTCTGCCTACTTGTGATCTCTCTCTGTCAAATAAATAAATAAAATCTTTTAAAAAAAGAAGAGTATGTACTAGATGATTCCATTTATAGAAAATTCTTGGAAGACCAAACTGATTTATAGGGACCAAGTGCAGATCAGTTGCTTTCTCGGGATTGATGGGCAGGGACAGTCGTGAGGCAGGAAACACAAAGGAGCACTAGAAAAAGTTTAGAGGTGATGGATATGTCAATTACACACCAAAAAGTCGATTAACATTGAAGTTTACAAGTATGGTGACTTGGGCTGGTTTCTCTATTTCTGCCTGCTCACCTAGATTAATGGAGGTGTGTTTTGGAGACAAATTACTGGAACATGTGTGTTCTTTGCGGGGAAGTCAAGGCCTGATGACAGAGGTTTGAGGAGAACCATGCATTATGTCTTCACCATGTGTCCAACCCTATGTTAAGCACTTTAAAGGAATTATCCCTTTCAATTCTCATAAAATCTCTATGAGGCAGTAGCATTACTCTCATTTTACAGATAAGGAAATGGAGCCTAAGACAGCGACCAATGTACTCTAGGTCCTAAGAGCCAGCACTGATGCCCCATGGCTGCACAGCTGGTGCCACCGCAGAGTTTGCCTGCCAGCCTTACCTCTCCCTAAAATCTCTGGGATGGGGGAGGGGAATCCCTCCCAGGCCATGCTCTGGGACCCAGGGGCACTGGTACTCTTGCACCGACTATGGCAGACTGCCCCACTGTACTTGGGACTGTAAGCATCCCCAGAATGCAAGATTTTCATTTTAAAACAAGGACGAGTCAGTCACCCTAACTCAGGTTCCACAGAGGCCTGTTTCTGGGCTGTGGTTTACTGACTTTCATTTTCATGACATGTCCAGAACATTTTCTTGGACTAAGGCCGGACGGGTGAGATGGTGTCACAGATTAAAGAGAAAGGGAGTCAACGTTCTTTTTAATGCTCTTTTATTCTTGTGCTTTCTAATGTGAGGATCACTAGGAAATATGATTCTAGTCTCTTCAGCCTTCCATTTCTAATTAGGGGCCTCCCTATGCTGGGGGCCTCTGAAGGGAGATAAGGGCTTCTACTTGCACTATGTGGTTGTCACTGAGAGAGAGCTTCTTTAAATGTAGGTCTAGACTGACCCCACCAAGTGATGGGCATGGGCCCTCTATTTGTTTGGCTTCTTCTGCCCCAAGCCACCTAGGTTGGGCCCCTGTTTTGGACTTACGGGCTGCTGTTGGGTTTGGGAGTTCTTGTTCTGAGTTTCAGGTGATGTGGGTTCAGGCTCCTTGCTAAGGCAAGTGCATTCAGGCTTGGGCTCCAGACAGCAGCACTTGGCCTGAATGCAACACGGGGGCTTCTGCGGGAAACAAGGGAGCTTGTGTGGACAACACGGGGGCTTCTGTGGGCAGCACGGGGGCTTCTGAGGGCAGCGTGGAGATTTTGGTGGACAGCATGGAGGTTTCTGAGGGCAGCATGGAGATTTTGGTGGACAGCATGGAGGTTTCTGCGGGCAGCATGGAGATTTTGGCCGGCAGCACGGGGATTTTGGCTGGTCACACATCTTCTGAAGTTTTGAAGGTCCTAAGAAAAAAAAAAAAACATTTTCAAAAGGAAAGCTGACTGCCTGTTTTCATTCCTTCTCTGACCCCCAAGAGCATCCATCATCAGAATGAAAACCGACACCGGGCTGAGAGGACAGGGTTGGATGCTTCGGAGGGCAAAAGCTAGTCCTTCAGTTCCATAGTTTTCCATGGGTCAGTGCACCGGTTCCTCATCAGGTGACCATTTTCCAGATGGAAATGGAAAGACCAGGCATGTAAGAAAATTGCCTAAGTTCTCCTAGCTAATGAGGAATAAGTGTGATGCTTAGTAGCCTGAGTTTGGGTCTAGTGTCAGGCACTTCACAAACATTGCCTCATGAATGACCACAGCCAGTGGTGAGCTGTGAGCTTTCTGCTAGACACACACTCTTGCGTATCAGGTGCATGTGCTTCTCCAAGCACCTGTGTGTGCGTGTGTCTGACCTTGCAGAAACACAGGCATAAGGAAGAAAGGACGTGAGGTTTCTGATAATGGCCATGTGGTTGAAGCAAGCAGAGATTTCTGTTGACTTGTTCATTATGCTCTAATGCCAGAGCACGAGTGACCAGCTCACAAGGTACTTGTTTCTGCCCTGGCCTCGGTATTTCCTGCCCATGGACACTTCCATATTCTCCATTCCATTCCTGCCCTACTATCCTGCTAGTCCCTCCCAGCCCCACTCCAAACGTTCCACCTGATGCTTAGAAAGTCATATCTTTCATCTGTGTTCTGAGGATGGAGTGACTCTGTCCCCCTAAAAATCCCCCTTACACCAAAGACCCCCTGAGGATTACCAGAGTGGGACAGAAAGCTGTATCGTTCCCTCCTTGCCACAGAAGTCTGCTTTTGCTCACCAAAGATGTGCAGGATTCTCAAATCAGGTGGTTCCTAAAGGACACCTGTCAGAAGACCTACTTCACTACAAACCCAGGGCTTTGGCTGCCTCAGATGCTAGGTGTCAGGCTCTCAGCCTTAGCTCTTTCCATCTGCAGATCTATCTCAGTCAGCTCATGTGTATAAGTCATATCCCCTGAGCCAGGCGTGGCTGACACCTCCACCCACTGAAAATAGTAACTTTCAAAGTGACAAGCTGTGTGCTGCCCCAGCCCAAGCTCTCTGCACCTCAACTTTTGGAACCAGCAGAGCCTCATCTCAAGGTTTCTCTGGGAAAGAGTCCTTGGCATATGCCTGAGGAGCCTGCCACTATGCTCCTTGCTGCTGTCTGAGGAGGGACAGACATCTCTTCAGGGTCCAGCATGTTGTGAATCTCCTGAACTATGGCAGCAGGCATGAAAGAAACTTGAGGATGATCACCTAGCAAGGGCCCCTGCCACTAGGTCTACTCCATCCACACTCTCAAGTCCTTCACAGTTTGGCTGAAGTGCAAACTGGGTCAGCATCAGGTTCTCACCTGCTTAGGGAAAGTGACGGCTGGAGTTGGGTGTTGGCCTCAATTCGTTTGTGACTCTATGCCTTCTAGTCACTTAGGAATTAATTCTGTCTTTCAGGAAGGGTTTTCTACTAAGTTTTAAGACAACAACGCTGGATCCGAAATCCTAAGGGGTGGGAGTGGGGACAAATCATTCAGTCTCTCCTTCCAGGTCAAGAAATGCCAAATAAAGCTGAGGTGGCAGAGATCTGCTCTGTTGATGTCTTGACCTGCCTGGGACAGAAAAGGAAGGAGAGAGGCAGAGCAAGGGAGACACACCGAAAATGAACACAGGATGGAGACATCAGCAGAAAAATGGGGAAAAAGAGGGGCATAAAGGGCCATAGGAGTTTTGCACTCTGCCTCCTTTGCAGCCTTAGAAGCTGTTTGGTGGAAAACCTGTGTGTGCTTGGGCACCTGTGGCCGTGGTGGGGTGTGCATGTGTGTAGGGAGCCTGGTATCCTCTGTGTCTCTGTGTCATTTGGGGCCAAACCTAAGTCCAGGCTCTGAGAGGTGGAAAGGGAGGAGGGAGTACCTTTCTTATTTTCTGTCGCTTTTCTCTGTCTGTGACTGTTTTTGCCTCCTTTATGACTTCTCTATGCCTGTCTGTGTATCATTGCTTTTCACACTCTCTCTTACTCTTCTTTTCTGTTTTTGTGGTTTACCTTTCTCCTCCTGAAGGGCAGTGTTCCTGAATTGATAGTTTGGAGCCTCCTGTCTATCTGGAAGGCCAGCTCCTTAGGCTCCATCCTTCCAAATCCAGTCTGGGCTATGATACAGAAGCAATTCTCATCCAGGTCACCAGAGGGCACCCAGAGCTCTAGTCCAGGGGTTGACCTAGGGGTCCCCACAGACATCCCCTCTGAGAACATCCCCTAGGGACAGCCCCTGGGAACAGGTCCTGAAAGGGGGAAGGTTGCCATGTCAAAGATGGGGAGGAGGTGTGGGAATCAGTTTTCTGACTAGGCACTGGGAAGAGAATGACAGTTGCCTCAGGTCCTGCCTCCTCCTGAACTAGGGCTACTACTTTCATTGCCTTGCTGCTTGGAGAATATCAAGATTGCCTTCTCTTTGACCCACCACCCCAGCCTCATCTCCAGCCACTGTCTCTTTCCTGCTCATCAGACTGTCCCAGAGCAGATCCCTGCTAAGTTCTGCTCACCTCTGTCCGGACCTTCGCATGTGCTCTTTCTGTGGTCTGAAGACCCCCACCCCTTCACTACCTGTGAATCTCAACTTCAAAATCACTCCCTGGAGGAAAACTTCCCTAGCCCATAGGATGAGTGCCCCCAGTGTAACCTCCTGGAGGTCCCTGTGCTTCTCATTACATTCTTACAAAATTGTGATTTCCCTAATTGTCTGACTTCTCTAGTCATCCTTACCTCCTTCCTACCACCATTCTCGGCATTTAGCTCAGTGTATGATATATGGGCTTCAACAAATGAGAAATGACAAGAAGAGAGGATCCAAAAGACAAACTTTCTCTGGGTTACCTGGTCTGGCTACTTCTCTTCAGTTTCTTCTCAATTTATGTTGGTCATGGTTGGCTTCACAGAAAAATGGTCTTCCCTCGACAGGTTCCAGCAGATATGACCTCCTTTCAGCAGTCGAGTGAGTCCATGACTGTAAGAAGCCAAATGGTTTCTCTTCCCTCCCAGTACCCAGATTCTGAGGTTCTAAGCCTCTGTGACACTGCCGTTCTTCTCTCCCCAAGATTCTGGTACTATGACTGACCCAACAGCACTCCCTGCTGGCAGGACCTCTTGACTCCTCTTGTTTCTTTTCTCTCCTAAAGCACAAAGGGAGATTAATAGTTAACATACAATTATTCAGTCACCTAAAACGGAAGCTCATGTTTGTATATACCGTCGACTATCTACCAGGTTCTATCCTAAACGTGAAGTGTATAAGCTCAATAGAATATAGTTCACATGCCCAAATCTCTTTCAATTTAGTATAGAGGCAATAAACAGCATCAATCCTCTATCATGAGAATGATTTAAGGGGAAGCCCCGGGTGTCATGGGAATAGAACACATGGGGTCAGGTTTGGGATCATGAATGGTTTCTGGAAGGAGTATGTTTTGTGAGATTTAGCTGCCGTTGGAGATAGGAAGTGGGACATGGAGGTGTGTGTGTGTGAAAGGGTATTTCTTTGAACAACACAGACTAGGTATGGGGGAAGCCCAGTGTGAGGGGACAGAGTTGGGAGAAAGAAGAAGAGGTCCAGTAAGCTACGGAAGCAGGTAGAAGCTGTATTTACGAGGGCTTTGTACACCACAAGAAAGAGTTTGGACTTTGTCCTGAGGGCAATGGGAGCCATCAAGGGGTTTTTAAACAGGAGAATCAGGAGCCCTTGCGGGACGAGGACACTGTTTTATTCATTTTGATATTCCCACCATCTAGCTCAGCACAATCATACACACACACACACACACACACACACACACATACACACGCACCTCCTGGGGCCCTAAGTCCTGGCTGGGACACTTCTCCAGGGTGTCTTCTTGACCAGCGGCCTCACCTCCTCCAGGTCTTCACTTGTATGTCACTTTCTAAATGATACATCATACCCCAATCTTCCCATTTAGAATTACTGTCTGCCATCCTTTCCCTCTAATCACCCTTACATGGTCTATTTTCTTTTCCTCAGGGGCACTTTTCATGTACCTGCTCCACACCGTGCATGCGATGCCCTATACATATGATGTACTATGCATACAATACAATGTATTTATTGTGTTTTTTGTCTATTGTCTTTCTTTTCTTACTAAAATTAGTCATCTCCAAAAGGGTGAAGTTGTTTTTTTCTACTGACACATCTCACACTCCTATTATAGTTCATGTCACTAGGAAACTTTGAAACACCCAAACAATATTAATTGAATGTATAAGTGATGATAGTTACTCTGTGGATCATGATTTGCCTACCCTAACGCCAATCTTAACTTGTGAAGTTAAGGAATTCTTTTTTTATGTCTGTTCTCAAAGTATCTTCCCAACTAGCACAGTGGGCTAAATTTGGTGGTGAAGAAAATGGAGGCCAATTGGCAGGAATTCACAGTGCAAAGACTAATGGAGCAAATCTTCATGGTGCTCACTTCCAGGTTCCAGTCACTGAGGGCTTGCTTTCCCCAAGTGTTCTCTGATAGTATTCAATATTCTCATGTAATACTTGGTTCTAAACCCAAAAGGTCGAAAGAATATACTGTTATTCTAATTCCTTCCGCTAAGTGATCAGTTTCTCAAATATACGTTCAGGGATATTGTATGTGCAATAAAGGCACACACAAACATATGTATCTTTGCCTCTTTTAACAAAACAAGAGAAACTCCACATTGTTTTGCTTATTTCCTTTGCAACGTATGTTGAAGATCATTCCATTTCATTATATAAAGAATTTCTTCATTTGTTGCTCACCCCGAAGAATAATCTAGAAATACATGAGAGTTCCCAGTCTGGGCTCTTGCAAAGCATGCTGTAGTGAAGGT